AATGCTTATATTAAACATCCTCTTGGAGAATGCGTACTTTTTTTATTACCCTGCATAACCGACCAATAATCTTTTTGGCCACCAGAGGCACATTTGCTGAAGCCAGAGCCACAGCCGTATCTGCCATAATCTCTACCATCGGTGAACCTAGTCCAGAATTTACAGATCTGTGAATAAAATTATCTAGCACCATATCTATCAGTTCCGGAACGTGTCCGATCGAGCCCCATATTTTTGCCTGGATTGAAGGGTACATCTGGGTTTCTTCTATAGTGAGCAGGATTAATTTTTCTATTATGCCCGCCACTTGTTTCTGCCTTTTGTTTTCTTCCGATGCTTTACAAAATCTACAAATATTACTATTAGAGAGTTTCTACAATTTGTGAGGAAAATACATCGAGCAAAAAGACAAAAGAGGGAATCTAATCGTTATGAAAAGGAGACCAAAAAGTGGCCTCTGATGGTGGACATATCCGGAAAGGCGAATGCGCCAAATTTAAATTTTCCGACACTTATTAAAAGTAGCTATAAAATAATTTTCAGAATGTGTCTTACACGAGAAACTTTAAATAAATATTAACGATAATAGTCTAAAATGTGACACGATTGTTAAAAAACTTCAACATAAATAAGATTTCATGTGACAGTTGGGACAAACAATAACATAACCCAACTAAATTTGATTTCTTAAACAAGGAAAGACTCTTTCCTTGTTTAATGTGGCCTCTTAAGATGGCACTTCCTGTCTAATAATATTTTTGCCCCAACTACCTTTACATTCCCTCTTTTGTCTTTTTGCTCGATGGGAAAATATCACAAAAAGCCGAAGTTGTATATAAGAATATACAATGTGGAAACCACTTATGGAATAAAATTGTTTGTGTCCTTATTATAGAAAATAATAAAACTTTTAAATTTAAATGTGCGCTTCTTAAACATAAATTTAAATATACAGGGTGATCCACGCAAGTCTGGATAGTCCATAATCTGTATTTTAAATGAAACACCCTGTATATTTTTATGTTTTTAAAAGCTCCTTAACAACCAGATCTCAACGAACTATATCATGTAGGCTCTATTATGAATAATACAAGGTAAAGTTTTGAAATTAAGTGTAATTTTCTTCAAGACAATTAATTCATAGAATACCCGAGGTAATTGATTGGATTACATTAAAAGAAATTCTCAAAATATTCTCCACCTTGTTGTTGGCAATAACACAGTCTCCTATAAAACTCGTCCCGAACTTTGTTTAAAGTTTGAGGTGAAATATTCCGTATTTCTGTAGTTATCCTTTCTTTGAGGCCTTCAATGGTAGATGGTTGTGTTGCAAATACTTTGTTCTTGAGATAACCCCACAGAAAAAATCCAAAGGCGTAAGATCTGGCGACCTAGGTGGCCACTCAATAGTACCCCTTCATCCAATCCATTTATTGAAGATTTCATTCAAGTAATTTCACACCATTAAAGCATAATGGGGTATTGCACCGTCCTGCTGGAACCAGACAGTTTCATTTGGTAGGGTCGGGTCTATTGGATTGGAATATAAGTTAGCCAACTGAGGAAGAACATCGTCTCTTAGCATGCTTAAATATTTTTCCGCTGTCAAATTACCATCTACAAATATAGGACCAATACTATGATCTCCTATAATACCTAACCAAACATTCAACTTTTGAGGATACTGAGTGTGTGTCTCACTCATCAAATGAGGATTCTTCGCTGACCAATATCTACGGTTTTGTCGGTTAACCTCTCCGTTCAATGTCAACGTTGATTCACCAGAAAAAAGAATTGTGCCAAAAGCTATTTCATTTGACATCTTAGGATCTAAGACATCTTAGGATAGTTGTGTGACTCAAATTATTTTGACGTGCAATTTGACGTTGGATTATTCTCTGCGACACTTAACAAAATACCCTTAAAAAAACAATAAACATATACAGGGTGTTTCATTAAAAATACGAATTATGGACTATGCCAGACTTACGGGGATTATCCTGTACATTGAAATTTATGTTTAAAAAGCGCACATTTAAATTTAAAAGTTAACGTGTTCCAGAGTCTTTCATTATTTTCTATAATAAGGACACAAACAATTTTGTTCCATACAGTTGGGGAAACTGTACATAGTAGCCAAAAATTTACTCCAAACAGTAGGCAACCATGATTGAGCAAGGAGATTCGGGCATATGTTATTAAGGTACTATTAACTTCTAGAATGCTAAAAAATGACATATTTTTTTTAACATTTTTTTATCTTATTTACTAAATATGGCAATAAAACATTCTTTAAATTATTATACAACTTTTGAAGATTACAAATTTTGAAGAATTAACTGTCCGGCACTTTTAAAAACGTAATCACTGATTACTACCTCGAAAAAAGGTCACTTTTTGAACAATTTATTCAAACGTCCTCCATTCTATGTTTTTAAAGAATTTTCAATTTTTCAGGGAAACTATCACCTAAGAGCTAAGATATATTTTTAAGTATAGAAGAAGACTGGACCAAATGCAAGGAAGCTATCCATACAGCTGCTAAAGGCTTTTTAAAACCTAACCAGGCTAAAATAAACGAAGATTGATTTGACGAAGAATGTAGATCCATTAACCAACATAAAAATAAAGCATATAAGAGACTTCAGCAGAGCAGAACGAGATCAAACCTGGAAGACTATGAAAATCTTAGACAAGAAGAAAAAAAGGACGTTTAGAAGGAAAAAGAAAGAGCCATACGAAAATGCTCTAAACGAGATTTTTAACCACCACAATAGAAAAGACTCCCGAAAATTCTACCAGAAGATAAATAGCTGCAGAAAAGAATTCAAACCCAGAATAATTAGTGACAAAAAACACATACTAAACAGGCGGGCGAATTATTTTGAAGAACTGCTTAGCGACAGAAGACCAAATAGAAATTACTTTTCCTGAAATGGATGAAAATTCTCAAGAGCCGCCCCCCATCGAAGAAAAAATTAGAGAAGCCATTTCAAAACTGGTGGTGAAACTCTTTAAAAATGGTGGTGACACCCTTTTTAAACAGATGCATTTGTGAAGACTTTTACTTGACTTGGACTTATGAAATGACAGTACTCCCTCACAGTGAATGGGATTGTGTGGATGGGGAGGAGGGTGATGTAGTAGTGCCTGAGAAGAGTTGTGGTTGTGACAATTCATTCCTGGCGTGTACAGAAGCCAATTCTCCCCAGCTTACGACATCGATGTCCGATTTGTGTTACGAGCGTATATGCCTAACAATATCGGGATTACTACTGTGCAAGTGAATGTAAAGGCTCATTGTTGACGGGATTTATAAACTGTATTCCATAATTGTGTATTTCTGAGGTTTCGTCTATAACAGGGTTGTCCAACTGGCGGCCCGCGAGGCTATTTGTTGTGACCCACGTAAGATTTTCGAAAAGCATATATTTTCTTTAAATGCTGCCACTGTGAAAAAAGATTTTTTAATTTATTTTATATTTTATGGTTTAACAGTGTTTTTACATCACAAGTACTGTACCGCGTGCCGCTTCGCGGACGTGTAACGAACACAATCGTCCTCCACCACTATGAGAACTGCACTGATTACTGCGCATCACAGTTCACGCAGGTCACACCTCCCACTGCTTACCATCCGTCGCCAGCCGCCATCGTGCCATAGTGCTACTGACACGTAGGCTAGTCGGCTAATCTATTACGTTGCCAGTAAACAGTGAACTTGATTAATTCTTTGTCTTGATTCCTCTTATACAATAATGAGTGTAAAACCAGTAAAAAGGAAAGTTGATAGTGAGAACAGAATTTACAAAGAAAGTTGGGAGAGTGATTACTTGATTGCTAACAATAATGGAAAGTTGCAGTGCTTAGTGTGCATGAATGTCGTTTCAGTGCCTAAAGAATATAATGTGAGAAGAAATTACACAACAGTGCATGAAAATAAGTATGCTACGTACACAAATGAAAGTCGGCGTGCCCTAGTTGCAGATTTGAAGAAAAAGCTTAACCAGCAAACTGGTATGTTCAGTAAAATATTACACTCTCAAACGCATTCTTTGCATGCATCTTAAACCGTGTCGCTTGAGCTGGCAAAGGCAAAAAACCCTTTCACTGATGGCAATTTGATAAAAAAATGTGCTGTTGAAACGGCCAAAGCTTTCGGTGATTCTAAAATGGCGGAGAAATTTGAATCAGTGCCACTTTCACAACAAACCATACAAAAAAGGATTGTTGCTATTGGTGAGCAAGTAGAAAAATCTATGCTTAGCCTGGGTAAGAAAAGTTCATATTTCTCACTTTGTTTGGATGAAAGCACTGATCAAACCGATGTTAGTCAGCTGTTAATATTTGTGTGCATTACTTTTGATGATTTTACCAGTAAAGAGGAGTTATTTGATATTTGTCCTCTTTATGGAACAACAAAAGAAAAAGACATCTATGAGGCTGTGAAGAAAACAGTTGACAGAATTGGAGGCTTTGATAAACGTTCAGCCACAGCAACAGACGGGGCCCCATCAATGACAGGTAAAAAAATTGGATTAGTGGGTCTGCTTCGAGAGAATGGTGTCACTTGCCCAACAATTCATTGTATTATACATCCGGGAGCTTTATGTGGAAAATCAGTCAAGGAAGATCAAGTTTTCACTTGCACTTGCACTTTTACAAAGGCAACTTAAGCATTTTTTAGTGGAAACAGAGGCTGAGTATGGAGACTTGCTAATGTACAATCATGTAAGGTGGCTGAGTGCAGGAAAGTGCATGGAACGATTTTTTGCCATAAGAAAGGAAATCACTGCATTCCTCAACAAATACGTTTCATCTGACACAACTGAACTGGAAGAGAAGTTTAAAGATCCAGAATTCTTAAGACAGTTAGCTTTTATAACAATAAAAATGTAGTTGTTGAGCAACTACAATACATCAATAAATTTTCCGTTCATAAAAAATGTAGTTGTTGAGCAATAAAAGAAATAATACTCTTTTTTGTTTTAATTATTTTTATACCTCACTTTATTTTGTTATTACTTGTAACAAAATTATTATATGGCCCGCGACAACATCAAAGGTTTTAGTTTTGGCCCTTGAGGCATTGCAAGTTGGACACCTCTGGTCTATAACTGCGGCAGATTTTATCAAAGATAAAGGGATTTATTTCAACTTACCTAACGAGGTTAGGCAACCATGGTGTCATATATTCTAAACATAAATGCTTCAATTCGATACTTGATACCCTAAATCCTTGTATACATTCTTCTAAAAATTCTAAAGTTAAATGGGGTTCATTCGTTGCTAGTTTTTCTGAGACAGATTTAATGAATATGGTATTATTGGATGGAATGCACAAGCCTTGCGTTTCTAACAACTGTCCCTCTATCTTTAAATCAAAGGTAGCTGTAAGAGCACAGAGCTGGTTATAAGCGGCGGTTCTTAAATTTGGATCTGAGGACCCTAAATTTAATAGCGCCATATTCAAAAGAGTTCCAGGGACATCTTTCGGTCGAATTTTCTGATGGACTGTTACCGAATCCTAAAACATAGAACCAACCATTTACTTACATAATTTTAAGAATACATACAGTGTAGGTAAAAGTTTATGGTCGGTATGGTAAAATTTAACAGGATATCTAACGCAGATATAAAATCATATTTTCAGCGAATAGACAAAGATAACAATCATATTTCCCCTTGGTCTCCTCTCCATAAATATTTTTAACACTCATTGCTCATTCGTGAGACGAATAGTTCCGATCAGAGATATTTTACATAATCTCTGGTTCCGATCCTAATATACCTAAAAAACTAGAGGTGGATCCTCTCGTTTTTTAAATTTTTATCGGAACCGTTTTTCGTAAACTGTAACTAGTTGATTGTTTACCAGTATTCAAATTAGCGAGTACACAAACATATTGGCTATTATCATTTATGTGTATAAGTATTGAAGTGAAAGAACCTAACGAAGGATATATTTCTTATAACGAAAAATAAATTAAACAATACAAATAGTACTTACATTTACATTACACATTATTAAATCGCGAATCGTCTAAATTGACAAACAAGTTTTTCCACTTTTCTTGTTAACCGTGTTCTTCTTTTATTTAAAATTAAACCAGATTTTAAACATGTGTTCACAAGAAAAAGATTTTGTTACAATACTACAATATTTTATGAATATAGTGGTTAAGTTAGGATATACATGACGATGGTTTTTCCACCACGGTAATGGACAGTTCCAATCTCCGTTCGAAATTTTTTGTGGGTAATATATCATCAGACAAATACATGTCGACTTCTTTTATATCTCTCGATACAGGTGTATGTTTAGACGAGTCACGTCCAATTAATTCATCAAAAATACACCATGGACTTAAGTCATCTTTATCAGTTTCTTTTTTTTTGTACTGGTTGATTTTCAAGATTTACTAAACTTATGCAAAGACTCGTTTCATCCGTTTTCCATAGGTGAAGAACCAGCTTTTAAAAAGTTTGCAGGGTGGATTCCTGGATATAAACTGCCAACAAGAAAAACTGTCAGGTTCATTACTTCAGGAATGTTATGTCAAAACTGATTTGATAATAGATAAAATAAAAAGTCCTATTTTCGACAATTCTGCAAAAAACACATTTAAAAAAAAGTACCTTATCTTCAGAAAGGCTTTTAAAGTAATAATTACAACATAACAAAGTTCCCAAACGGCCAATCCAAGACGTGGAAACTAGGTAGAACTTCACCTACTACATGTTAAAAAAAATGACCGAGTTAGAAGAGGCAATCCGTTCCACATCGGTATTAAATAATACAGACTTAGACCAAATCTAAATAAATAACACTGGATTATTTGTTCTCAGCTTTCCCAAATTTTACGGCCGTTTAAAAAAATAACAAGTACAATGAGTGACCAAAAATACTTGAAGGGTAGTTCAGTGATTGTTATGGTACGCTGCCTGCAAGAATCTTGCAATAAAATTTTAGCAAACGGTAAATTTAGCAATAAGGTTTAGCAAACCTTACATCCATAGTATCCGACGTAGTACAATTACTAATATCGGGTTTAGCAAAAAGATTTAAAGGGATAGAACAGAGTGGCACATTGTTATTATGTACATTTATGGATTCACCATTTAAAGTGCAGGGTTTTTCTGATAAAAATGAAGATAAAAAAATTAAAGAAAAAGTTAAGAAGCTGGTTACTTCTATAATTAACGAACAAGAAGATTGTACTATTGAAAATCAACCAGTACAAGAAAAAGAAACCAATAAAGACGCCTTAAATCCATGGTGTATTTTTTATCAATTAATTGGAGATGGCTCATCTACACGTACACCTAAATCGAGAGTCCATTACAACGGTGGAAAAACCATCGCCATGTATATCCTAACTTAACCACTATTAGTATTGTAAATGTGAACACATGTTCAAAATCTAGTTTAATTTGAAATAAAAAAAGAAGACGGTTAATAAGAAGTAAAGTTGAAAAACTTATGTTTTTGAATGTCAATTTAGACTATTCGCGATTTAATAATAACGTGTAATGTAAATGTAAGTACGAGTTACTATTTGTATTGTTTAGTTTATTTTTCAAGTTATAATAAATAAATCATTAGTTTCTTTCACTTCAATAAATATACACATAAACGATAATAGCCATTATGTTTGTTTATGTAGGTACTCTCTTACTTAAAACTACTTTTAAACAATCATAGTTACTTGTTTACAAAAATTTAAATTTTTAAATGCATTCATTTCATTTCAAAGATTACATTATTACCGAGGGCCGAAAGTCCCTTAGAATAAACAAAAAGGTTTTTGAATGAGATATTTGAAATTAAAAATCACACTAATTTTTTTTTCACCCCTATAACTTATTAAAATAAACATTATAGAAGTTTTCAGGGAGTTTCGGCCCTCGGTAATAATGTATTGTTTCATTCTGCGTTTAAATGTTTCAAAAATATTTATTAGTTTTCTCAGAATTCGCAAAAAATTAATGCGTTTAAAAAATATTGGAACGAAATTTTGTGCCTACGCTCTTAACGATAAAACTAACACGACCCACCTCTACTACTCGTTACTCGGTCGGCCAAACCAGACCAGACCGACGTTGCCAAATAATTATTGTGTATGAATATTTTTTAATGTGGCGTTATTGTATGCAGTTTACTATTTCATATTGAGAATAAGGCACAATGTGACTTTAAAATAAGCTTATTTTGTTGTTTAGATTTTTAATTCCGAAATCATACTTAAAATACGAAACATTAATAAATTTTATTTATATAAAACGATTTCCGAAGTGGAAATTAAAATGTTATATTACACTTATTGTAAAGTAAACTTGTGGCATATTCCCAATAAAAAAACAGTAACCTGCCATTTAAATCAATTTCGCCCAAATTGGATTATCTTAGAACATTGTTCAAATGCAAAAAAAAAACAACAGGTCAAATAAATCCAATAAGTTTGGCAACGTTGAACTTCCCCTTTCCAGGCATGCATGTTTGGCGATATAAAGGGCGGACCTAATATACCTCTCTCTCTTTCTAAACAGCTGTTTCTCACTCCATCTCACGTAAGGTCCATACCGACCATAAACTTTTTCCTACACTGTATATGCACATTTCACAATACAGAGTGAGTCAAACATTTGTATACAAAATTACGATATATTAAAATTTAAATCTTGCAATTAAATTACAAACAGCTGAGGTGAAGGTTCAGTTTTTCAAAATATTTCCAAGAATCATAGTCATATTCTCATAATCCTAACAATCTTGCAACGAACCTTATGAGGTCACTACCAAATCGAAGACTAAAACGACGGACTCCCAGTGATCTTTCAACAAGTTTTTTAAACAGTTATTTTTATATTTTTTGTGTAGATCCGAAATATATTAATAATAGTTTTTAAAATTAAATTATAAATAGAAAATTGTCATGGGGAAATTTTTTACATATGTCATTAGAGATTGTAAATAAATAGTAAGTCAAAAAAATATATTTTCAACAAATCTGAAAAAGAAATGATGTTCTACAATGTTATTTACCAAGATATAGAAAAAAAACATCTGTCTCAAATTGCTAGTATCAACTCACTTATGGCTCACCCTGTATTTACATCAAAATAACGTACCGGTTGACTAAGTTCCCAACGGTTTCTTATGTGAATAATAGCTTGAACAATACTATCACAGTCGTTGTGTATAAAACTAAGTGGACTACTGTCATTCGCAATAGTCAGTGTAAACTGATTATCATCCACCAAACAAACTTCTTCAATCTCCGATGCGTAGTATACATCATTCAGTAGTACTGAATGCGACAGTACTTTCGCTTTCTCTGCCGAAGTTATTTGAATAGCAGTTGGTCCGACCTTAATTGCTACTTTGGTGTCTTTGTGTGATAATTTTAAAGCGTTATGGAATACTTTTAAGTCTTCATCAAGGCTTAGTGTCGCTCCAGGTAGCTTCTGTTGTTCAGAATCGATGTAGTCATTAAGTTTGTTGGGAACATCTATAAAAATTATTTTTCGGTTTCCCTAAAATATAATAATTATAAATAGAAGCAAAGCATACAAATTAAATGTAGGCTGCAATAAATCTACATATAAACTAAAAACAAAATGTGACAATACTCTAGAGACTAGAAGGTTCTATAAAATATATACAGGTTGTCCAGAAACTCAACCGCCAAACGAAAATAGCAGAGTCGATTTAACCTAATTACCTTACTCAAAAAGAGTGTCATAAGGGAGGTAGAGCCCTTTGAAGATGGCTAACTTAAGACTCATTTTTAATTTTGATTTTATTCTTTTCTGAAAACCAACTTTACAAAATTTAGTATTTAAACATGATTTTAAGTCAGAAACACAAAAATGTCTCTTCTTCGAATGCCTTCTGCTATCGAGGATGGGCAACAATCTTGCAAAATTTTCCTCTATCTTGAGCCTTTCTCGGCGTTCCTTGTCTTCGTCTACCTTTAATCTTATCTACGCTCTACTTTATTATGATTTGAAGGAAGAAATATCATAAAAGTAATCGGTGGAAAATACCTTTTAGTTTTCAAATTTGACATAACATCTGAATTTGAAAAAAAAAATCATTTACAAATACCTTTTGCTCCCTCTTAAGTGGACAGTTTGTAGTGGCAATATTTGACTCTTAGGGCCCTGTTATACGAGCGCTAATATCGTCGCGTTAGCGTCAGCCCAACCGGACAATGGCACTACCATGGAGTAAATTATACGAACGATATTGCCATCGACGAGTTCGCGTTATCTTGACGTCAAGCGTTGCTATACTTTGTCTCAAAGTGACTAGTCTGTACAGGGAAGATATGCAATGTTAGACGTTGACAGTTTTATGCAGTGAGCGATGGCGTTCTCTATTGTCTATCTTTAAAAATAAATGGAATAAGCCAGGAGTTCTCAACAAGTCCTCAGGTACAATTTTATGTATTTTACAAATATCGTTTGCTAATAATTTTACATAATACTGTACATTATTTGATTCTAATAGTAACTTATCAACTTTTATCTTTTATTAGTAGCAGTAGTATAATACAATGTGCATTAAATAAATATTTGTTTCAAAGGTTTTCAAATACTTTCTTGTAAGTTATTCAGTAATTAACCCTCTATTGCATGAATTTATTGAATTTTATTTTTTGACGAAATAAAATAAAATTATATTAAATTACTCTTAATAGATGTATTTAGAATTCACCGATATATATAGTTTTTTGAAAATGATCCAGTTTTTGAAAAAAAAAATGTGTGCCCATTTGGGAACATTATGTATAAAAACTTTTATTAGAACCAATTGTCATACACATTAGATAGATGTATTGTCAGTAACACACTATTCCAAATTGTGAAACTTCTTAAAACAATTACTTTTAGAATGAAAGCATAAATGCACCTTACATTTTTCGCACTGGACCCTTGATTTTCCTTTACAGTTTATCAACTTACATCTTTCCCTGTTTACAGTCCAGTTTGGCCAGGGTGAAAACTGATCTGTTTGTACATATATATTGGGTCTAGGTTCAATGCATCTTCTTTTGGATGGTTGTTCGGGTGTAGAACTTCTAGCACGACCTACTTTTCTTTTTTGTAAAAGACCACTGTTAGTTAGTTGTTCAGCTAGAATTGTTTTAAAATTCAGCAGTGGTATAATCTCTTCAGTTTTTCCAATTTGTTTTTTAATTTGCCTGTCTAATAGCCAAGCATTGACTACTGCTGCATCCAGTATATGATAGAAAATACGGTGGTACCATTTTTTACTTTTGATTTTGATTGGATATAATCCCAATAAGGAATCTTGCAGATCCACACCGCCCATGTGCCTGTTGTATTGTTGTACAATTTCTGGGCAATCAATTTCTTTCCTAGTTCTTTCGGTGCGAAAGAATCTTTCCACTTTGGCTGTTGGTTGAGTTCCACAATAATCTGACAGTAAAGACACAATTTTGTTGTCACACCACTGGACTGTATGTATTGCAGTATTCTCATACGTGCCAGAGTGTTCCTGAATGCTACCCCTTTGTAATTTTTTAATTTCCTTCTTTTGCCAACCTTTATAATTGAGAATTCGATTTGTACGGATTGTTGCGATAGAATGTATGCCTCGTTTTGACAAATATGACACCAGTGGTATGCTTGAAAAATAATTATCATAGAAGAGTTTGTGATGTTTATTGGATGGTACTTCTCTGCTCAACCGAACTACAACATTACTAGCAGCTCCCAAATTTACTTCATTCGGTAATTCTGTGTAACCATCTTTTCCAGCCAAAATTTCAAAATTATATGAAAATCCTGAGATTCCTGAGAGAACCCACATCTTGTATCCCCATTTATGAGGCTTTTTGGGATTATATGTCTTCATGCTCGAACGTCCTTTGAACGATATAACTTGTTTGTCATAAGATAAGTGTTCTTCTAAAGGTATTTGCAAACACGATCTTTTTATTTGTTCAATCAGAGGCGTTATTTTGTCAAAACTGCGCGTATTTTCTAAATTATTACTAAAATGAAGAAACCTTTTGTCGAACTACCTCAATTATAAAATCTGGTGTCAAAAAAAAACTAAACAATTTGTAAGGAGAGTTGAGCTGCAATATGTTGATTGGAAGTAATTCACTACCTTCAAAATGCAGTTCATCTATATTTCGCACAGTTTTTGAAGGATGCCATGTCATTTGACTTTTTTTGCTAGATTTTTGTTTAGTAGGTAGTTCAGTATCCGAATCATCGGTTGATAAATTATCATCTTCATTATCAGAGTCTTCTTGACTGTCAATGATTACTCTGGGCCGGGTGGTTTGTGCAGCTAACGGCTCAACATTATCTTCATCAGATAGTTCCGAATCTTCACTTTCAGATGGAATCTGTCGTAACTTATAGGGCTGAATAGTTTTTGCTTTATTGTTGTAAAACGATGTTGGTGGAATACTTTCAAATTCATCTATTTTTTTTCTGAAAAAAAAAAGTTTACTTCAGGTTTATTCAAATTAATTAATTTAAACCAATAATGCATTAAATAAGTACCAACTTGATAAAAACAAGCTATAAAATATTAAATTTTTTCAGTTTCAAAATTTACTTTTAGCACACAATGTTCCCGTACGGGAACAGTAATAATTTGGGGCAAATTCTAACAACAACAAAGTAAATTTATTATTTCAATATATCAGTAGATTTTTACAACACTTATAAACGCGTATATAATTTTTATTGATCAAACTTACCTTATTTTTAGCTGATATTTGAAAATAAAATACACGTGCTAAACAAACAACTTACTCGAAGGTCACTTCAAACAAAACTGCTATTTATTGAAATAACCGGTGGGTATATCGGCAACACACAATACACATCTAAGAATGAACGTTCCCAAAAGGGAATAAGATGTGTACGCGCTTAAAATTGTCGATAGCAAATACTCATGGAAATTTTATATATTGAGTTCCCGTTTGGGTCCATTATGCAATAGAGGGTTAAGAAGCAATTAGAGTAATTCTTGTACAGAATATGTTTAAAAACTTGATACATCCAGGGCCTTAATTAGTCTTTATTTGTTCTTTGGAGCGTGTAAACACATTCAAGTTACGATTATTTGTACCATCTTGGATGTACTGTTACTGTTTTGTTATTGTTATTATTTGTTGGTGGCTGTTGTTGTGATTTGATGTTGGCAATTATTATTTTCTGTTGTTGGCTATTGTTATATTTGACGCCGAATTTTTACCACAAAATGAGGAAATTGTTCAATGGATACGTGGAAAAGCTCTGAAACTTTCAGAGAAGCAGATCCGCGCAGCCTCCTTGTAACACTGAAGTGACGATAAGATGACAACTTCAATATTGTTGAGATTTTTTAACAATACCTGGAAAATTTGCATTTTAAAGACATTTCTCGTTAAAATCTTTGAGAATTCAGCTAAACCGTATTCATTGGTTGGCAAATTTGTAAAAGAACCGAAAAAAAGTCAAAGGATTAAAGCAATATGTCAGAAATTATAAGGGTGCCCGTTTTTCGTGCCGGTGAGGGTATATATAATATACCTACCTTTAGGGGAACTAAAATCCTATCGTGAAATTTGGTGTATTCACGAACCCAGTTGTTACAATTATAAATATAAGCAGCTGCTAGGTTGAGATATGCAACTTCAGGTAAAACATAGAACCATTTTTGTAAAAATTCTGTTCTGAATCTATTATCGGTGCATGTGTGGGTAAAATCTACAACCAATTCAAAGGGAGCATGGCAAAATGGTTTCAGAGTTAAAATCACGTGGTATATTAAAAGATCTCCATTTGTCTCGCCAAACCTAAAACAGAAATATATTAAAATAAATCACTTCAAATAATGTAGGGTATATTACTTGAATCTTCTGGCGATATAGTAGAATACAGGGTGTCCGAATTTACTGGTACCTGCTTGATAAAAGATATTTAACGATTTTATGGATTTGAACTCTTCTTTTTCGTGCATATTATGTTTAACCATCAATTCCTCAAAGTTGTTCGATGACATATCTATTGAACTCCACCTTGCATACGATGAAAACAACATACTGCAAAGAAAAAAGATCTTCACAATTTGTATAATATACAGGGTACCACAAAAAAGAAAATATTAATTATTAAATTAAGGAGGTATGATCACGCCGCAGTTAAAATGAGTGGTATTCAAATAAACTAACGTTTAACAATGTTTTGAATAGATGGCAGCACGTGCATCATATTTTAATATTTTGATTTTCTCGAAATTTAATTCTCTGAACAGCAACACTGTTGCCAATGAGGCCAAGTACTGGAACTTTAAATATAATATACGATCGGTAAAATAAATAAATAACTCTGCGAGACAGAATAACCAACGAAGACATCAGGAGAAGAACCGGAGTGACTGACATCATCGAGAAAATAGCCAGACTAAAATGGAGATGGGCAGGACGTATAGCCAGAATGACAGATGGGCGGTGGACAAAGAGGTTATTGGAATGGAGGCCAAGGGAAGCGTCGGTCGACCACGTACAAGATGGACTGACGATTTGAGAAGACTCAATAAAAACTGGATAAGAGCGGCGCAAGATAGACGGGGTTGGAAACACGAGGAAGAGGCCTATGTTCAGCAGTGGACTCTTGAGGCTGGATGATGATGATGATGACAGTTATGAAAAAAATACTGCTTTCTTTGGAAATGTTAACTAGATATCATGAAAATAGAAAGTTTACAGTTTACGTACATAATCATAAGTTGAAGATTTGTTTTGAAATAGTGACGATAACTGTCCTAAAAAGTATATAAATTTTAACATTGTGACATACCACCTTAAATTAATGTTAAAAAAAAATACAAATATGTATGTACTAACTGTGAGTCAACTGGTTTATGTTCCGGTGGTCCTAAATAAGCTAACAGTGTTGCCATTTTGTCAAAAGGCCTCCTTCCTACTGCTTTATGATCTCTACTGCTTGACAGATAATCTCCAATCTTTTCTTGGTGGTTCCACAGCAGCCGATGAAGCGCTAAGACATTTGCATCTGAAATAAATGACATGGAATGTGAGGTTTGATCGACGGTTTCACAGTCTAATGCAATCTGGACAAAAAATCGTCGTCCAATTTCAAAATGCGCTCGTAAAAAATCGTTGAATGGAAGCATATGTTGCTCTTTACTGAATTCGACGTGATTTGCAATGTTTTGCAAGATTTTAGACATCAACATAAGTCCTCTTTTCACAGAATTTGGTACTTGTTTACAGACAATACCCATTTCCTGTGGAGAAACTATGGCAGGATTAATAAAGCGTAAAAATATCACTGTTCCCACAGCTCCTATATTATTCTGAGGAACTAAAGGGAACCTTTTACTCAAAACTTGATAGAGACAGTGGCACATTGACCGTAACTGGGGTGGAAATTTGTCAATTGAATTAACAATCGCATTGAAAACTCTTTGTGTTAAAGCTATTAGATTCTGTCGGTTTTCTTCTATGTCTTCATTTGGTTCCAATCTAGCTGGGTCAACTTCAAAACTGCAACAAGGATCGTCCAATAAAGGACCGATAAAAGGTTCAAGGAGGCTTTGTAGATAGCTTGCACCGTAGATTTTAAAACAAAACGCCATTATCTTACTTCCGAGACTGTTTCCCCTAAACAAAGTTTGCATACAATCCGACACCTCAACTTCTCTATAAAACATATTCCACAACAAAGGGGCCAGAAGGTGTTTGGCGTCAAATAGTGTCACAAATACTCTAGCTAGTTCGTCCATTTGTGAAGTGGTCACAACATTAGCAAGGGCTACTGCTATTGGCAACTCTCCTTTATCACTGATCATTGTTACTAACTGGACTAACTGTTCAAACCGATCGGCTAGCACTGTTTCTGCCAGGGTGTCGAATTCTGTACCTTGTTGCAATATTTTCGTTAAAACTTCCATGAAAGCTGCCCTTGTTTGTAAGTCTTTATTGTAACCAAGATCTGAAACATTTAAAATAGGCATTAGAATACTTTAAATAAGTTAATAAATAATATGTTCAAATATAATAACTTCTTAAAATATTTATTTTTAACAGAATAGCGACTGACTTGTTCTAGTGTTGAGAGCGAAGTGAGGTTGTTCGGCGCCAAAAACTGGCTTCTCCTTCAACGGTTAAAATCATGAAGCGCTCTAGTCAGTGGCGCGTATATTTGAATACAGATACAATATATATATATATATATATATATATATATATATATATATATATATAATGACAAATGAGTTTGAAATAAACATAGATGCGAAACGGAACAGTTGTGTTGTTTTCATGGTTGAATGCAGTTTTTATTATTGAACGAAATATTGATCATGTTTGTACTCCGATACTAAAGTGTTTGTGTATTTTAATTACATTTTGCAATAGCTTATCACCACACAAAAATGATGAAGCTTCAAAACGTCAATATAAAGTATTTTCAATTAAAATTGTGGTTTATTCTTATTAAATATAGTAGAATGGGGTAGAACAACAAACATGGCTTATGGAATGTGGAATGTAACGGTAAATAAAAATTCAAGATCGAATCGTGCCCAAAAGACTTTGGTATTAATGATCTATCGTGACATATGACGTATCAAATCAAAAGGAGAATTAAATTCACTAACACAACAATTTTGTTTAGAAAAATCCGTATGAGATTATGGACACATAAGAAATTATTAGTTTGTACATTTAAGGCCGTTTTAAAAATGTGTTCATTTTAAGAATTTATTTAAATCATTTGTTTGCAAAGGACCCCAGTACTTTTTTATATAAAAATTGTTTCAGTTAAATTTGCTAAAACTTTGCTCATGCTGATCGAAAGTTTTAATTGCTCCAAGACTCAGAAATTAATTGTTTCTGAATTACAAAGGTTTATTATTAAATAATTACATTGCTCAACAATTGATAAGCATCAAAGTAATATTTTACGCCAGAAATAGTCAGAGTTTGTAAAAAATTTATATAATTAAAATAATATTCATATCCCGACGTTTTTGTTATTGTGGCCATCTGTTTTTTTTTCTTTTTTTTACTATCGTCTTTACTATCGTTTTTACTATCGCGGTTTGTGAAGACTATGGGCTGAAGAACACCGCAACTAGACAAACAACGATGTTGATTATTTACCATTTGTACCAATAATAGTTTATATTTAAATTATTGATGAGTACCCGCTTGACTTTCGTAGTATACAGTCAATTGCTCCCGTTATCAATAGTGCTACGGAAAGTGCAAATCAAAAACAAAAACAAAACAAATTAGCATATCAGTGTAACAATAAAAGTGGTTAACTAATTGACTAGCAGATAAAAAATGAATACATTACCTACTTTTAATGAACAGAGAACAGAGTGAACTGAATCGTGTACACGAATGGTGTAATGCAAATAATTTGAATCTTTATGCCAATAAGTTCAAAGTAGTTTGTTTTTCTAGGAAACAGTCTAATATATACCATCCTAATATTATCGATGGCAATGAACTTGAGCGTTTGAATAAAATTAAAGGCCTTGGAGTTACATTTGATTACAAACTCACCTTTGTTGAACATGTTAATTTAAAGGTTAAAGAAGCACTTAAATCTTAAGCAATTTTCTCTGAAATAGTCGAAATCTCACCAATACTAAGGCAATTAAAATACTTGATTGCACTTTTGTACGCTGTAAACTGGAATATGCCTCTATCATTTGGTCACCTTTTTATGATGTAGATATCCAAATTATAGAGTAGGTGCAGCGTAATTTTTTAAAATTTTTGTCTTTCAAAATTAACGGCAATATCCCAAGAGGGGCATCAGCAATAGTGAGTAGTGTAGCGATTTGGACGTAGTATCATTAGAATCTAGACGAATTAATGCCTCCCTAATATTCCTGTACAAGCTACTACATAATCTCATTGACTGCCCTGATATTCTTCGACAAATAAATTTTAACGTTCCATCTTGTCCACTGAGAAATTCGATTATGTTCAGAAATACACAAGCTTATGTTAAATTCTCCTCTATTTCCCATGTCCAACTATTATAATTCCTTAAGTGCTTACTGCGATATATTTCACTGCAGTTTAAAGCAGCTTACTATAGTTTATTTTTATGAACGAGACAGTAATTAGCATAATTTTAACTGGTACCTCCGACCACTCCATGGGCGTGCTCAAGATTAATTGAAAAATTACTTTGAATAATTGTAAAAAATAAATGAATTATTTCAGTGTTATAAAGTGTTATGTGTATGTAAACAAAAGTGACCTCTTTTATCACACACTATATTAGAACTGATTGGCCTACATTAAAAAGGGTTTTAAAAAATTCACATTTTATTTTTTTTAATTTTTAAAAATTACAAAAGAGAAAAAGAGTTTTTAAAACCGTCTAAGGTATGTTAAATAGATGAATAAAAATATTAACATAAAACTTACAGCTACTTGTTACAAGTCCAAATCAGATTCAGAAGATGAACTTTCAGAACCAAGATTTATAATAACTGGCTCGATCATTTTATCAGTAATATTGTCCAGCTTCCACATTTTTTCCTCTTCTTTAATAGTGTGATTTACTGCCTTTTCCCAGTTTTCAGGTTTTACATTATTTACGCCTCCAAAAACAACTGTTTAACATCATGAATTTTAAAAGTGGTATTTTTTCTTGAAACTTCACTCTTTATCTGTGCACATACCAGTTCAATCGGGTTTAATTCACAATGATATGGTGGGGATCTAAGTACTGTCATTCCACGATTTTTGGCAATTTCATCAATTTCGTATTTTTTAAAATTTTCTTTATGAAGAGCACACAACGAATAAAGTTCCTTTCTTATAGATCCGGGATGGTACGTAATATTTTTTGAACTCAGCCAATTCTGCAAGTCTTTTTTTAACCACTTGGTTGTGGGCAGTCCTTCTATAAGTCTGGAGTGATAACTTGCATTATCCATTACTATTACACAGTTCTTAGGAAGAAGATCTATCATTTGTTCGAACCATTCTTGAAAGACATCAGTGTTAATGTCTTCATGGTAGTCACCGGTACGAGTTGATTCAAAAGTTAATAAACCACCTTCAACAAAACCATCTGAACTGCCAATGTGTACTATTATCAGCCTGCGTCCCTTTCCTGATGGTGGGTTTAAACCAGTAGATAAGTTATTTACAAAAGCATGCCTTTGACTTGTAACAGTTTCATCCTGCCAAAATTTATTTGGTGTATGACCCTCGTTGATCCATGTTTCATCAAGATAAAATATTTTTCTTTTTTGGTTTCTCATTTCCTTTATGGTTCTTAGAAAATATCTCCATATGACAATATCGCTTCTTTCTAATAAAATAGACTTTCTGGGATTCTTTTTCCAGCGGAAGCCTATTTCTTTTAAAAGTTTCCATAACATACTTCGACTCATTTCTGGGTAATCCTTATCATCTCGAACTGAGACAAGAACTTTATCCAATGTTGGAAATTCTTGTCTAAAGAAAAATTCATGCACTTTCCGTCGAAGTCCTTCTTTAAAATGATATTCTATTTGAAATTTTGGTTTCCCTGGAGCATTACGTGGCATTTGAAAACTACCACATTTCTCTTCTTTAATAACTCTGTAAATCGTAGATTTCCCAACACCAAGTGTACTGCTAACTAACTCAACGGTCTCATCAACACTTTCACATAAACGTTTGTCTGTAAATGATTTAAAACAATTAAATATTAATGTTTTTTCATTAACTGTTAAAGGACCAATTTTTCGGCGTTTACACGGCACTTCCAAATTTTCCATAACACTAGTATACACAATAAACTGCACCTTGCAACTGAAGTACCTACTTTTAGTGAACTGTTAAGAATTTTGAATACGCCACTTGGACCTTCCTACAAAATGGAAAAACCCACTATCACATTTTCTGTGGAATAAGTTTAGAAGGTAATTATCTAGTCAATTACTGTCGTAGATTCCTGGAATTAAAGAATTAAATGTTTGATTGTTGAAACCCTTACTTTGTGGAATGCACTCATTTCAGATAAAATAAAACGTTTTATTTAATCTAAAGAATTAAACTTTATTTTGCAAATAGGTAGGTCTTATTAAACTTTTATTGGTTATATATAACCAATAAAATAAACATCTTACATTTCTTGCAAATTCATTAGTACCTGTTAACCTCCATCACTCCGACACTGGCAACCTTATTTAGGGATTAGTAACCCTCACAACTATTGTATTCTATTCTGCTCCAACCTTTATACCTGGTGGTCATACTCAATTTAAAATTGTTTTCCTATATACTTCTGTAAACTTGTTGACAAATATCTGTTTTTCATTGAGTCACCCGTATCAACAGTTTAGGGATTTGCATACATAATTTATTGTTTTATTACTCTCTCATACATAAAAATACACTATAGGATGGCTGAGATCTACCTAGGTGATTGAGTCGTTTATTTATTTTAAGGTAAAATACTCGAAAAATGTGTTATTTCGTTAGTACCTATGAATTTTTAATATTTTATTTAACTTTAGTATTGTATTTTGTCCTATAAATGAATTCTGTTGAACAATAAACGCTATTATTATTATAACCAAAATCTCTGCAAAGTTTCAGCCAATTTAACTGAAACCACTTACCACATAAGAAAACCATAAAAAAAGTGCCGGGGTCGATTACAGTTTACTATTACTAAGATTACACTCTATATTGATATTTATACCATTAAAAAATACTTACATATAGAATGCATAAGTCCACTATCAATATTAGCTGATAACAAATTTGACATAGCTTGTATGGTAGCATTTCTCAAAGTATTATGTTTACCACTGAATACCTTTTGTTTGCCAAGATCTTTGTCCACTTCTTGTGGCTCGGTGCAGTCGCCCAATAAATTTATGAAAAGTGTAAAGTACTTCAGAAATAACTGACTTTTTGCCTCCATTAAGTCACCCCTATCAGACTCCTCGGGTTGTAATGGAAGGCCTCGAAGTAGTGCAGCGACTGCTTCCATACAAGCTTGATCTAATTCTCTGGTAATTGTTGTAACATCGCCGGAACCAGGGGGAGCAATTTGGTGGGAATTTCCCATGATCCAATCTGAAAGGTATTCAACTAGTTTGTTCCTAAATTTCATTTCTTGGCGGAAGGCCAGATCGTCTCTTCTGTTCATCATAGTCTCTACTAGTTGGCACAATTTGGTCTTCATGTGTATTGCATGAACTGTCATGTCTAGATGCCTGACGTATCTAACTACTGCCAACATCATTCCTTCTATACTAGTCACTCCTAAATGTTCAGATGGTTGATCGTTTTTTGTACAGTCTAAAATATTCTTCATGATGAAGACTATATGCTCAATAAACTGCGTATTAACTTCGTTGACTACAACCTGTCCCTGTTGGTCAAAAAACTTATCTACTATGGATTTTGTTTGTTCAAATAATATTGGATATAAGGCCGAAGACATTTCGTGCCCTATCAATTCTTTTACATGCTTTTGTATTTGAGCACCGAATTTTTCGTTACTGCAGACCAACAGGCGTAACAGCAGGTCCACAAATCTGTAAAAAAAAATCAATATTTAGGAAGGCACTGTCGGATAAGTCCCAATGACGAACATGTGGAAGTGTGAACAACGACAGACTGTTACGAGATAAAAATACATACATACAGAGTGGCCCAAAAGTCTGGAAACGGCTAATTATCTCGTAAAATGCTAATCATAATTGTACACCTATTTTGGGATACGGAGATTCCATATTTGATATTTACAATGTTGCCAGATTTGATGTTTGCCGTTTTTCTTATATTATTAGTAACTTTGGTTTTTCAAATACATCACCCTGTATATTCAGTCATTATTGGAATCTCCTATTCAATACGAGTTCAACCATATGTAACACTTATGATTTTATGTAATCTGGAAGGTCATAAATACATAAAACCGAAGTCTGGCAACGCCTAAATTGTTTCAATACATTTTTTAATACTAACTATTTTCAAATACATTAAAACGTAACAATTGATAGTTTAGAACATTTTTTAACATAGTAGTTACGTTATTAAGTGTTCAAAATGTGCTCCATTTGTGAGTTGACAGCACTCTAATCGATGGTAGAAGGCGTTTACCACATTTCTCCATGATTGTCTAGAAATTATTCGAGATTCATTGATAATTCGTTGCCTTAGCTCTGCAAGACTTGCTGGTTAAGTTTTGTAAACTGAACTTTTCAAGTAACCCTAATAAAAATAATCTGTAGGATTGAAATCGGGTGAACGTGGAGGCCATTCAATTTTACCTTGTCTACCAATTTATCGTCCGGGAAATATCTCATCTAAATAACGCCGAACCTTTACACCAACTATTTGACGTTAAATTTCTTTCGACAAAAAATGACTCAATTGAATAAGTAACTACTATATCTGACCATACATTTAATTTTTGTGGTCTTTGACTATGGTTTTCATTTTCATTTCTCTTATATTCAGTAATATAAGAGAAACTGAAAATCTGGCAACATTGCAAATACCAAATATGGAATCTCCGTATCCCAAAATAGGCGTATCTCAAATTTTGTATAATTATGTCTAGTAATTTACGAGATAATTAGCCGTTTCCAGACTTTTGGGCCACTCTGTATATGCCTTCTGGTGCATAATACGTAGCGCTCTATAAAATATTTTGGAATTTAAATGTGATTTAAGCAAACATACTCTGCGTACAGATAAAAACAAAGATAATAAGAATATATTAGAAGCAATATTAAAAATACTTACGAAGTCACAGGACAATATTGCCTCTGGTCTTGTGGTGTTTGTTGACTTTGAAGTGTATTTGACTTCCTAGTGCCGGAAATTGGTTCTGAACCAAGATTACTACTTCCAATGGAACTCATCGAGGATAAACCAGAATGTGAGCTAGTTGATAATGGAGGTCTACATGGCGATTTCCTTTGTAAGCAGACTCCTCCAAGAGCGCATAGGAAGCCAGTCATGTTTGCCCATTCGTTTATTTGATCCTTCAAAAATATCAAAAGAAAGGATTGTATGCATTTTGAATGGTAACAAGCATGCATAAAAATTCTAAAATGTATAATAAAATTATAATAAAATTAATTGTAAAAATAATCTTATATTAACACTTGAATAAAATGCTTTCTCTACGGTTCAAGACCTTCCACGATTGTTAATAACAGACACGACAGATATAAAAAAAAAAACAAAACAAATTATGGTTCTTCTCAGAGCCTTCTTTCAGTCATTCAGACATATTTGACAGATGAGGGTTGTATCACAGCCACCTAAAGTTACACGCCATGAAGTAGAAATTTGGCAACATCTAAGGGTAGTCCTGTTTGAATGTGAACAACTGATTACAATGAATTGATAACTACTTGTATATTATATTTTTTAATTAATTAATATTAAGTGTTTATTGATATCAGTTATCTATATTTTTTCGTTATTATTGATATTAAGTTCAGGTGCACCAAAAACGTGAGAGATGTGCAGCAAAGATTGATGCCTTTTCTTGTTCAGTTTTCCCCCGCTTCCATATCGGCTTTCCTTAGAGGTGGTATGTGCTGTGTAGGCCTCTTGAATGATTTCGTTGCTTTCCAGATGCTGTGATCTTCTTTTGACAGGCTGTTGATGAATAGTTCAAATGTATCATTCCTCGCGTCTTGTAGAGCAGTTTTAAGTTGCCGTGTTAATCTATTGTATTTATTTTTATATATAGGATTGCGACTTCTTTGCCATATGCGCCTGGCTCTTCTTTTTTTTTACAACAAGACGTTTTATATATACGTGACAACAAGACGTGACAATTATGGGAGTATGGACGGTGGACAGATCCCAGGATGCTTGTATGTCAAAATAATTTAAGGCCATGTTATGATCTGGGATTTTTTTTGGATCTGATGGCCAGTAGGTGGGTTGCCTTGTAGATAAGTAAGAGCTGTTTGTGTTCGCTATGGCTTGTCTGAGATTTTTTCCCTTTGTCGTACATAGTCTCGACCCCCAGTCTGTATGCTTGGTATACCAGTCACCTCCAATTAAGAATTTGTTTGATAGATGTTTGAAGAATTCTTCTTATTCTGCTGTGGTGATATTCTAATCTATCTATCTAATCAGCCTTAAACGCCCACTCTTGGGCATAGGCCTCCCCTGCTAATCTCCATTGGTCTCTATTTTGGGCGATCTGCATCCAGTCCTTTCCTGCCGTTCTCCTAAGATCGTCAGTCCATTTCATCTGTGGTCTTCCTCTTTTCTTTTCTTTTCCCATGGTCTCCAGTGTAGAATTCGCTTATTCCATCTTTCATCTTTTTGCCGGAAAGTGTGACCGGCGAAGTTCCATTTAAGTTTTGCATAACCTGTGGTGATATTATGCCTATAGAATAATGAGGGATCTTGAACATCGTTCTGTCAGTGAAATGAGTTTCCAATATGAGTAGAACATCAATTTTGTTATGTACAAGAAAGTTAGTAACTTCTGTGTTATGGTTGCCTAGGCCGTTAGCATTCCATTGTATAATTCGTAGTGATTTAAGTTCCATTACTGAATTTATTTATTACTGTGGAAAGCATGTTTAAGATCACGCTATTTTGATTTATTAGTTGTGAAAACATAGCTTTGAATTCGTTAAGGAAACTCTCCAATGTCACTGTTTGTATTACTTACATGTGTTCCACTTGTTATTTGAGCGTAAGTTGCATGATTTTGGTTGTACTAGTTCGTATTATTATGGACATTATTTACATTGGTTCCACATGTTGCTTGTGTGTAAGTCGCGTGATTTTGATTGCTTAAGTTCAGATTATTCTGTACTGTATTTCTGTTATATTGCAGTTGATTGTTCGCTGGAGTGTGCGATGATACTCATCTTCCTCTGTTTCTACTGCTAATGAACTCTATATATACCATGCATCCTTTGTAATTTGCGGTGTGTGCTCCATTGCAGAGAGCGCATATGACAGGTGTCTCCCTAGGTTTTTTACAATCGGCTGATATATGGTTACCTTCACATTTGACACAGTGATAAGGTCTATTACAGTATGTCTTTGAGTGTCCATACATCTACATACAATTGACATCTGGTACACTGGGACAATATTATTCTTTTTAAACGGTGGCTCAATAACTATTTTCGCGTTGTTTATAAATTGAATTTCATATATTTTTTTTATTATTTTGATTATTTTCTATATCGACGTAGAACATCATTAGTGGGTCCTTACTTACTCTGTGTTTTATATTTACAATATTGCGTACTAAATGCCCATGTTTTTCTATTTCACTTTTTATTATAATAATGGGCACTGTATGATGTAGATTACGAATTACAGCTCTGTATGCTCTATCCTCTTTCATTTGGTACGTATGATGAACAATTTTTTTGCTGTTTAAATGTCTTACCAGTTTTCGGTATGTTTCAGAGTCCTGGGAATTTATTTTTATTGTGTTATTTTTTTTATGCTATACAATAGTATGTCTCTGTTTTTGTTGCTTCCGATAGGTTAACCATATATAAAAATTAGTGGGGGTTCAGAGGTTTTCTGGAGTTTCGTTGTTATTTTCTGTACTGTTATTGTTTTCGTTTTATGTTTTTTTTGTCGGAGGATTAATTTTACGTTTTTTATTACTATGTTGTATAGTTTACTATTTGCGGATGTCCGATGATCTCGTGGATGTCGCTGATTTCCCCTTAAGAGTCCTTACATTATAATGTACGTGCCATCTCAATAGAATCATAAGCTGCATTGTAAGGTGTAGATAATGTGGAATTTATTTTAGGATTGTATTGACAGTTCGATGAAGATTGTAATAGTACTTTGTTAGAAACATAATATATATTGTTGTTGGTGGGTTGTTTAAAATTTGTGCTGAATTTGGTTGTAAATTTTGTGAAAAAGGACATTTGGGCATTCTGGTTGAATTTGCTATTGCTGATATTGAATATTTATAGGTTGACCATTAACAGTAGCAGTATAAAAAGGAACACTCACCGATAAATCTGTTGGAGCAGTCATTTTAATTGTTAAAACTGTATATTTTAATTTTTACATAGTTTATACTATGGCGAACTCCGCCTCTGGTAGATACTGGGTGAATTGAGTAGCTCAGTAAATGCCAGTGCCGGTCCCAAGCCCGGATGAAGGAGGAGGGTTACAGCGGTAGGTTAGCTCCCCGCCCTGCGTAAAAGAAATATTGCTAAAAATCCCAAAGAACAGCCTCGGAACTCGGATGGCTTCAACGGAAAACGACATAGGCAAAGAAAAAGGCTAACGAATTTTGGATGTTGGAACATACAAGGACTGAATACAAAAGAAGACCAAGTATTTAAGGAACTCAGTACATACCGAATTGACATCGCAGTACTAAGCGAAACAAAAAAGAAAGGACAGGGGAACCACTACAAAGACGATTATATAGACTTCTGGAGCGGAGTAGAAAAATCAAAAAGAGCCAAAGCTGGAGTAGCGGTCGTGATAGGAAAAAACATGGAAAAATGTATTACCAACTGGAACCCGATAGACGAAAGAATTATAACAGTAGACCTTACAACAAAGGGAGATACATAAAAATAATTGGCATCTATGCACCCACGGACGACTCAGATACAAACACTAAAGACATGTTCTTCGACAAACTCTCAGAAGAGTTAAATAAAATAAAAAAAAAGACAAGAAATAGTCCTGCTAGGGGACCTGAACGGGACCTGAACGGAAAGTAAAGCTCTTGACAACAAAATAATTGGACAACACGGAGAAGATGTAGTAAATGAGAACGGAACAAGATGGTTTTAGGTATGCGAACAACATTCGTTAAAAATACTGAATCGATTTTACAAACATAGAGACATAAATAAATATACATGGACTCAAAAGACAAGAAAATTGCAGTCAATTATAGACTATATAGTAGTTAAACAAGAGACATCTTTAAGACCCTACGATGTAAAAGTTTGGAGAGGGGCAGAATGTGGATCGGATCACCTACTAGTAAAGGCACCCGTGGAAATAAGATATATTAAACAAAATAAATCCCAAGAACAGACAAACAAAGAATCCACACGGCTCTATAACATAGACAGCTTAAAAAATGAGTCCACAAGTTTTCTTTATAAACTACGTTTGGCACGAAAATTAGACGAAGAAATAAACGGAACAGCGGAAGAAATGTATGAGACTTTGAAAATCAAAATTCATGAAGCAGCATTAGAAGCTCTAGGTACGAAAGAAAAAGTAAAACGTAGAAATTATTGGTGGACAGAAGGTTTATTAGAACTGGTAGAAGAAAAGAAAAAACTGTATCTCAAATGGTTAGCGACAAAAGATGAGGAAGACCGAAAGAACTATAACAGATACAAATATATAGTAAAAAAGGAAATTAAAAAAACAAAAAACATAACCTGGGACAACAAGTGTGCAGAAATAAGCTCAATGGTAGGAGGATCTAGGTCCAGACAAGCTTGGAAAACTATCAACAGTCTTAGAAAAAATACAAACGAAACAAAAAAAATAAACCCCATAGACATAGAAAAATGGAAAAATTATTATGAAAATTTATTAAATGAACAACGTACACAGTTTCTAGACACACAGATAGATAGAGTTGAAACGGGGTTAAATGAAGTGGCGATGATTACCGTAGAAGAAATAAAAAACGCATTACAAAAAATGAAAAATAATAAAGCTCCTGGGCCGGGTGATTTACCTATCGAGTTATTCAAACATGCCACTGCAATAACATTAGAATTGCTTTGTAAAATGTTTAACAAGTGCCTACAAGGAGAAAGTATCCCAAGAGATTGGAAAGTCTCGTACATAAACTCCATATACAAAAAGGGAAACAGGAATGACTGCAGTAATTACCGAGGTATCAGCATTACGTCATCCACTGGCAAACTGTATGAAAGAGTTCTGAAAGTCAGAATAGAAAAAGAAGCCACAGAGATCGAAGAACAAAGTGGATTCCGACCAGGGAGATCTTGTGTCGACAATGTATTTACTCTCAAACACCTAACGGAAAAGAGATTAGCAAGAGGACTAGAACTTCATGCCACTTTTATAGATCTCCGTAAAGCGTTTGACTCCGTACCACTGCAGAGACTATGGACAAGATTGGAAAACGCAGGTATAAATGCAGTATATATAAATGCCGTGAAAAAGCTATATCAAGATAACCAAGCTTATATTAAGGTTGGAAACCAAATTTCCAAGGGTTTCACCCAAACAAAGGGTGTCAAACAGGGCTCTTGCCTCTCTCCAACCCTGTTTAAAATATATCTTGGTAATGCTTTAAAACATTGGATGAGAAAATGCAGCCCAATGGGCATATGGGTAAATGACACTCCTATATACACAATCCTCTTCGCAGACGACCAGGTAGTTCTTGCCGAGGACCTACAAGATATGACGTACATGATAAACAAACTAATAGACGAATTCAAAAAATGGGGATTAGAGGTTAATACCGAAAAGACACAATACATGAATATAGGAGGCATCGGTCAAGACATGGAAACAGAAAGCGGATTAATTAAAAACGTTGATCAGTACGAATATCTCGGAGTTACACTAAGCGAAGACGGGAGAGACGACAAAGATATAACAAGAAAAATAGGAAAAGGAAAAAACATGATAAAAACACTACATCCGATCCTGTGGAATAAAACTTTAACTAAGAAAACAAAGAAAAATATATATCAGGCTATGATTCAGCCGGTGCTGACGTATGGGTCAGAAGTGTGGGTCTTTAACAATAATATGTCACAAAAACTCCTCTCAACGGAAATGATGTACTGGAGAAGATGTTCCGGGTTAACTTTGTTTGACCACATAAGAAATGAAAACATAAGAGAGAGAATGAAAGTAAAGAACACAATAATGGATACGATAGCCGAAAAACAATTAAAATGGTATGGACACCTGAGACGGATGAACGAAGAAAGGATACCACGAAAGGTTTGGAACTGGAGACCTACACAGAGAAATAAAAGGGGAAGGCCAAGAAAGAAATGGATATCCAATATTCACATAGAAATGGAAAATAGATGTCTTCAAGAAGGAGACTGGGCCGATAAGAAATTATGGCGATTGGGATGCGAGAAGCGACAAAATTAAAGTTGCAAACACTCGCTATATATATATATATATATATATATATATATATATATATATATATATATATATACATAGTTTATAAATAATATATCCACTTGATACACGATAATGACAGTAAAAACGAGGCTAGAGCCCGTTTTTAATCACCACTATAAACTTTCGCCTAATTCGTACCGATGTTTACAGGTCGAGAGTCAAATAAATACTAATGTTAAAATTATCGTATAAACGACAATTATCGTACACCTGGCAACGCAGGATGTTATTTTAAACAGTGTTTAAATTCAATCGGAAACATTCGGGTTTCATTTGGGAGACTAGGAGGAAATATGATGTTGATCTCTGTCTATTAAGTGGGAACATAATGCTAGTATTTTTAATAGTATCTCTCGCTAATGTTGTAATATGTACTAACCATAAGTTTTTTTCGTGTCTGTATAGGAATATATTTTTAATGATACAATACGTTGGTTTTCTTTGAGAACTAAGCACGGATATACAACTTTTTTGTCTCTATCGTCTTTAAAAGAAATGAAGCACTGAAAAAAGGCCGTGAGAAGAAATACACACAAATTTAATAAACTAAATAAAGTTTTAAAGGTACCTCCAGTTCATGTTCAGAATTTTGATGTGATGCTCTTCTTTTACCCACAGATCTGTGAAACGGTTCCATTTGCCCCTCTTCTGATCTCGCTTTGGAAGATAAGTTTTTACACATTCCATTCCAGTTCATAAATGTCTCTTCCCAAGCGGGCTGAACACCGTTTACACAATGTTCTATTTTTCTCAGCAACGCCATTATGCGCTTTTGCAGAGCTGCTCGTCCTAGAAATAAATGAGACATCTCATGAAAAATAGTATTTATACTCGAGTGAACTAAGTTTTTCTCGAGTTCCCAAGTTAATATATAACTACAGAAAGAAAACATACATGTTACTGCAGAGAATTCGGCATTGTTTATTAGTTATTAATAATTAAGTGCAAAAAATGTAATCCAAGTTTTCCAATTTTTTACTTACCTTTAAAAAGGTAAATTTCAAATATTGCCTTTGTAATGGTAAGTAAAAGTTCGAAAAATTCTTTTTTTTTGCACTTGTTACTAACTAAAAACAACACCAAATTTTCCACAGGAAACATGTAAGTTTTCTTTCTATAGGTAGGTATATATTAATTAAAAACTTAACTAACGTTTTTTTACTTATTCCCTTAACTACTAGTAGGCGAAGAGAATGGCAATAAATATGAGTAAAGCAACATTTAAATTCGTAAATTTACAAGATTCTTCTAAACTTTTGGAGATGTGTTTAAGTGAATAATTTAAAGAAATGATTACTCTGCCAATGACGTTGTCATTGAATCTTTAAATCATTCATAGCATTATAAAGACTTGATCTTCGATTATATATATATCTCGACACTGAGGAGTAGGCAGATTGAGACCAGTGTCATTCGACACTGAGGAGTAGGCAGATTGAGACCTCAGTGCCGAGAGACAGTTCTTGTATTTATAATACAGAACACGATACTGGTATGTCTCGAGTGAGGGGAGTAGGCGGCATAACATTCCATGCCTCTCTTGCAGCAATTCCTACATCGGCCAAACATCTCAATTATTGAAATCACGCATTACACTACACAAAAGTGATTCTCGACTTCACCCTGACCGCTATGCATTAGCCAAACATGTCCATTCCACTGGTCATCTCATGGACTATACGAACACTACAATTCTCCACCGTGAGAACAATAAATCTAAAAGAGAGTTCATTGAAATGTCTTATATTTTCCTTAACGATTTTTCCATCAATGTTAAGAGTGACATTAAGAATCTAAGCGATATATACCACTTCTTACTTAAATCAGATACCAAGAACAATACAACATCACAGATAACTAACTTGACTGATATATCTATTAACAACTAACCTACTTTCACAATAATTTTCATTAACTAAAAAAAGATAACATTCCCTTGCTTTTCTTAGATAGATCTCAATAAGATATTATTATAATAATACATGAACAATATGCTAATTAAAAAAGAATTTCAATTAAGAAAATTCTAAAATAATATCTCCCCGAACTGGGACCTAACTTCATCGGTTTTACCAATGAACCTTAACGACATAAATATTCAAAGAACTACTTGTAATTGTCAGCGCTTGCGTTCTAAGAAAACAGAACCTCACATTCAAACTTTATAACAATCAAAAATTTAGTTATTGCCGACAATTCAAAGAATTACTTCCTTTAAATTTAGTTACATTGGGTTTTTCGATTAACCTTGGGTATACCTTTGCGTTTTAAGTTCAAAGCTACCATACATTTCCAACGTTAAAAAAAAAACTTTTTGCACATAGTAACAAAAAACACCACTATGTTGTTACTAGCTAAGTTTTTTAACATCCTAACTTGACATTTCTAAAATTTACGGTAAGATAAATGTTTTTTATTAGATAATATATGGTAGCTAATTATAATTTGTTCTCTTTCAGCCCTGAAGAAGCCAAATTAATTCTCTTTGGCGAAAACGTTCGGCGAAATAATTGATACACATTAGAGTTTTTCTTGCAGATTTCCCCAATATTTAAGAGTTTACTATATATATATATATATAATATATATATATATATATATATATAAATATATATATATATATATATATATATATATATATATAATTTGCTGCTTTAACGTCGACAAACAGGTTGAACTCTTTGGGTTTTTTAACAAATGTAGTGTAAAATGATGATCTGGTTAACGCTCGGATGGCCTAGTCATGATAATCTGCCAGTTAGGCTTAGGTGTAGTGCTTGAATACATTTTGTGTGTGTTGTTCACAATGCTTATGCCTCAGTAGTTATTGCCCTACAATTGGTTTGAAATGCAAGACCAGATATTGCAAACTATATTGTGCATATCCTTGGTTATATAATGCATGCCATTATTAAACAACTCTAGTGGGATTCCATCGCTGCCTGGGGATGTGTTGTATTTTAGTTTTTTTTATGATCATTTTCAATTCATCTACTGTGGAGGATCCATAAATTCCTCGTTTAGGTCTATATTTCTTTATTGTTTGTATTATCTTTTTCTTAACGTGCCTGATCCCTAAGGACATTGGCGATCATCATGGTTGATTTTCTTCTTCGGAGAAGGATTTAGCAGTGCTGATCGTCTTCTAGCGGTATTATTTGAACAACAATAAAACTTACCATTTAAATGATCCGGAAAACAAAGCCTTGTTTCCCCAGAAGCTGCATTAACATAAAAATATGTATAATTAAGTATTTATTTTATATTTTATACTACTAATTTTTGGGTATATCAATGACTAAAGACATAAACTACGAAAAATTGGTCAGGAGTGTTTGAACTATCTTTAGTAAGGCACAATAATACTAACCTGTAATGAGCACTGTAGACGCCTGCGCCAATTCTTGATAAACGTGATAATTTGGTACTAAGTATGTTACTGTAACCTCATCAGAGCCACATCGTATTTCTGCTTCTTGACAAAGCAAGGCGAAGCAGCTCATTGAAACAAGAACTGCATCCATATCAGTGCTCCATAAGTACATGAAAAATACCACCTAAAAGAACAGAAATGAATTAATTATTTTTTTATTTAAAGACAAAGTCGTAGCGACCTAATGGTTATTAGCGACAGATCTGTACAATTTTAAAAGTATTACAGGTAGATTGCATAGTTATAGTTTCCGTCAAGATGTAAGAAATTTTGTCTGACGCTGGCGGGATCACCCTACCGATTTAGTATTATAATAACAAACAACAGACCTTCCAGGAGCGGATTCGCTAAAATTATTCGCACACTTAATAGAGATGTTTCATCCAGATAAAATATCGGACTTCCTTCATCTCTAAATTTAGATATAGCATCCAAGTATTCGTTTCTCCAGTTAATAAGTCGAGGGGAATCCATTATTGATGATTGCTTATTAATAATGTAATTTGCTATCAATATCGATAGAAGACTGAATTTGGCGTTGAATAGAATTCAGTATAGTTCAATTTTGGACCTAAGTGGTTTATGATGTACTGTTGATGTTTGGATAATTGTTTGAAATATGCAAATCCACTAATGGATGTTAGCGATCACATTTTTCCATTAATTCTTTATTTCTTGAAATCTGTATCAGAGATTGTATGCCGTTAATCCCTGTCCATTGCCTTATGTTTCGGAGCCAGGACATTTTCTTGCGTCCCATTCCTCTCTTGCCTTCAATTTTGCCCTCGATTATAAGTTGGAGGAACTGGTATTTTTCATTTCGCATGATGTGACCTAAATACGCCGTTTTCCTTTTCTTGATGGTTTCGAAAAGTTGGCGTTCTTGGTTTATTCTTTTAAGGACATCTATATTTGTGATTTTCGCTGTCCATGGTATTTTTAGGATACGGCGATAGAGCCACATTTCGAAAGCTTCTAATCTGTTTATATCCCTCGTTTTGAGTGTCCAGCCCTCTACGCCATATAGCAGCACTGACCACACGTAGCACTTAGTAAACCTTAGTCTCAGTTGAAGATCGAACTCTGAACAAGTCAGTACCTTCTTGAATTTTACGAAAGCTTGTCGAGCTTGCTCAATGCGACATTTTACTTCCCTGTCCGATGCCCAGTCTTCAAAAAGCCACGATCCCAGGTACTTAAATTTACTCACTCTTTCAATGGACTTAGTATTCAGTGTTATGGTGGAGTTTTCAAGTGCATCCAAGTTTCTGGAGATGATCATAAATTTGGTTTTTTTGGTATTAATCTCTAATCCCATTCGCTTACTGTATTCTCCGATTATAGTGACAAGTTGTTGGAGATCGACTATGCTGTCACAAATTAAGACACCATCATCAGCATATATGTTGTTGATCAATACTCCATTCACTTTGATTTCCATCTTTGCATCCTCCAAAGAGTCTTGAAATATGGCTTCCGAATAAATGTTAAATAAAAGAGGGGAAGCACACATCCCTGTCGAACGCCCTTTATATGTATGGGTTTGGATATAGAATTGTCTATTTTTAACTGTGCCGTTTGATGTCAGTACAAGTTTTCAATGCATCTTATGTCTTTTTGGTCTATATCATCTTTCTTGAGGATCTGCATTAACTTGTGGTGTTGGACACGATCAAACGCTTTTTGGTAATCTAAAAAGCATAGGAACACATCTTTCTTCTGATCGTAACAATTTTGGACCAGCACCTGTGTTGCTACTATTGCTTCTCGTGAACTGGGAGTCACTGATGTCCCATTCACATTTTTTGTATAATCTTTGATGTAGTATTTTTAAGAATATCTTTAAAGTGTGACTCATCAGGCTAATGAGTCTGTGATTCTCACATCTTTTTGCATTGACTTTCTTGGGCAGGGGAATAAAGGTAGAGCGTAACCACTGTTGAGGATAGCAGCCAGTTTCATAAATTAAGGTAAATATTTTGTGTAGTGCTGAAATTCCCCTTTCATCCAGTAATTTGAGTATTTCTGACGGGATTTCATTTGGTCCAGGTGCCTTATTGTTTTTTGAATTTAATATTGCCTTTTCTATCTCCTCTTTGGTGATTGAAGGGCCAGTCAGCTGGTCGTCTGTATAAACTTCACTCATGGGTCTTTCGTCATGGAAGAGCTCCTGGATATTGTAATTTACTACTCCACCTAATATATGTTTAAAATACAATATTCTCAGGCCTTTATTGAATTAAAAATGTAGCTAGACAAGCTACTAAAACTACAGGCAGCTTGCAAATTTGTGACAGGCAGCTGTGAAAAATATGATTTATTTAAAACAAACTTACCTCTAGTTTGATGTGAGCCTGTTTACAAATTGCAATCGAGCTTCCCAGGTTCGCATAATCCTTATGCTTAGCTAGAAATGCATTCCTACATATCAAAACTTCTCTCAGCCACTTTAGAATATCGGTATAGTTCATTATTTGGTGTTGTATTAATTTCTGGGAAATAGAAAACATTACTTGGGAGCTGACATCCCAAAATGTGTTAATTGGTGCTTCTGGATTCCATACTTCAATCTTCTCTGGATGGTGGAGAACTAGTAATGCTTCCATAGCCTCTTGAGCTACCTCTGGCATTGTTGGTTGGTGGACTAAAGAAACTAAGCCATTTATAAGTTCGAGGGTAGAGCTCTGGATTTCATGGCCGGCTTTTCCTTGGTTGTTTAACATCAACATTGGATCTGCATGTACTAACCTCACCATGTAGAGAAGTAAATGCACCTCTTCTGCCCTGTCTTTAAATTTCCCTGGACAATCTTTACCTTTTAAAGTAATTTGTATCATTCTTAGTGGAGTGTGAGCTATGTATCCTTGAGAAACTTTGTTGAGTGTATCGGTAAACATTGCTCTTAATTCTGATGCTTTGCTATACACAATATCTATCTGAGGCCACCAAAATAACCTTGGTTGAGTAACAATCTTGTAAAGCGATCTTACCAACACAAAATGAAACGTTGGAGGTGAGTTTAGGCTTAAACATACTTTCAAGGCTTCGTTATTGTGTGGTTTTATCCTGAATATTGATACAAAGCAGTCAATCATTAAATCCATATCTTGATATAGGTAGTTCTGTCCCCTTGAAAAAGGTTTCTGTGGATTAAATAATAGGGCCTAGAAAAAAGTGAAAATTTAGATTAACCCAAACTAAAAATCTAATATACACTTTACCTTTAAGTCATTTAAAATACTTTGTACTAATACAAATGTAACATTATTAGGATCCAATACTTTAATGTATGTTGAGGCTTTACAAAGTTTCACACAAGTCACTGCTGCAGCTTCTGTTAGCTGTTTACTATTACCATGGGGACTTATACATTTTTTAATATTGTCAATGAACATTTTCTTTTTACTATGACGTGGTGAACAAGGAGCGCCGCTATCAGCATTGACTATTTCTTCCAGAACTTTCTGAAAATTAAAAATATTGACATTAATCCAATAATGCTACAGAGAATTGCATTGCTACGTACAGTAATGAACATTAACAAACTAAAATACAGGAAGTAGCACTGAAATCAAACTACATATTTACAATTACAGGCAATAGAAAAATACTTAAACCAAAAAGAAAGCACATTCTGCTCTAACAGGGTAATAAGTGTGGGTACTTACTGGAGCAAGTATTAATAACATTATTTGAAGAGACCAAACTGCAGACCTTCCTTTTTTATTATCTCCAAAAGCATCCAATATATCAAAAAGTTGTTCAGCACACTTAGCCATATCTTCATTGGGATTTTTTTGTAACTCAGCAAACTCGTATGGATAGGTATCCATCCAATTCCATATAGCCTTTTCCAATGAAGTTACTAGCATAAGATGTGCAGTTTTTTTCAGCAGACGGAATTTTGATATAGCTTCCACAAAAAGTCGACTTAACCTGCTTACATCCACATTAATGTATTGTATTAGTTCTATATCACTAAAATCAGGGTTTTCATCTGGACATGAAGCTAGCTCCTGTAGTTTTGAGGATATACGGTTAAATACTGCGTTAAAAAAATTTACACTCAGAGCAAATAACACCTTACTTGCCAACTGTTTTATTGCATGTACATTTGGATTATCACTAGGCATATCTATAACAAAACAATTACTAATATTTTTATGATTACGGTTTTGATTATAATTATCACCTTCACTGTGCCACCAGTTGAAAGACTGGTAACTACATTTACTTGAAACATGGCTAATAATAAATACATGTATTTCTATTTTGCAATTAACACAAAAACTAAACCCGTTGGTAGAAATTAACATTATAGGTACCTATTTTCTTGTCATAAAGATATCTGTCTTGCCTATTTTGGACACGTAGTAAGAGGAGACCGATATAATATTCTTCAACTTATTATGATGGGTAAAATCGAAGAATGCAGAGGAATTGGTAGAAAGCAGGCCTCTTGGTTGAAGAATATCAGGGAGTGGGCAGGAATAAGGAAAGCTGAGCAACTCTTTAGAATAGCTCGAGACAGAGACAGTTTCGCCATGTTAATCGCCAACGTCAAGGGGACTTGATAGGGCATGTTAAGAAGAAGAAAGATATCTGTCTTATATAAAGATAATTTACTACCAGACATATAATACTGGTAATGCATACAAGTAATTTTTTCTCTAATATGGGATTATCAGACGAATTTATCTGGTATGAGGTAATTTAGTTTGTTAGTCCCAGTTGTCTCATTTAAGCAATAGTGTTTAAAATTATTATAGCCCAACTAGCCTATTCTACTCAAATCCGACTTTCACCTTCACGCTGGTGTCCCCCGTTAACCGAGCAACCCAGCTGGTATCCAACCCGGGTGGAAAGTTGGGTCGGGAACTGACGAGAGCGAGTTTATCGTTGCGTTAACTACCCAACCCGATAAAAGCCCATAGTTACGAAATCTAAAGTCAAAAATCCCAGACGGAAATCTCGACGACGACCTATGCAATGAAATAAGGACTTGCATAATGGAAATAATGATCTTAATGTATTTACCTTGAACGTTCGCACACTTAACGAACCTGGAAACATCTGCAAACTGTGTGACATATTAGCACAATATAATGCTGATATTACCGCAATACAAGATGTACAATACAATGTTTTTTACTCAAAAAATACATATGGGGACTTGGATCTCGCCTGATGGATTAACGAACAACCAAATTGATCATCTGAACATAGATGCTAGACACTTCTCCAACTTTATGGATGTCTGCACCTATCGAGGCGCCAATCTTGATTCAAATCATTTTCTAGTTGGCACAAGAATTCGGGCTAGAATCTCAAATGCGAAGAACGAGAGAAGTACCAAACCAAGGCATAGAGATGAGGTTGCTGAGGCGTTAACTAGGATGAAGAATGGTAAGCTAGTAGAACCTGAAGGAATACCTTTGGAGCTTTGGATGGCTCTAGGAGAGAAAGGGGTTGATGTTTTGTGGCAAATGATGAGTAGGATACATGAGGAGGAAAGGATACCAATGTATGGAGAGATAGTGTGATGGTATCATTGTATAAAAATAAAGGAGACATTCAAGATTGTAAGAACTAAAGAGGGATACAGTTCATGTCGCACACAATGAAAATTTGGCAGAGAACTGTAGAGAGAAGATTAAGGAGAGACACACTGATAGGTGAGAAGCAGCTTGAGTTTATACTTAGCAACGGATGCTGCGTTTGCTTTGAGACAGTTGATAGAAAAATACTGGGAGAAAAAAAGCTAAACTTGGTATTTATAGATAGCATACATCAAAGTAAGGACTTATGTCGGATTGGCTGAAAGTTTTCCAGTGATGGTTTATTTGCATCAAGGCTCTTTACTGTTGAGTCCCTACCTCTCTTATGGATCTACTGACAGAGAAGGTAAGGGAGGGGCTCCATGGTCAATGCTCTTTGCTGATAATATTGTAGAAGACAGCACATAAATGCTGAAGGAGAAATTGGAAGGAAGAGTTATTGATGAGGGAGGACTTAGGGTTAGTAGGTCAAAAACAGAGTATAAGTGGTTCATTGGTTGGGGACATCGAATTGCTTGGAGAAAAACTAGGATGAGTAGAATAGAAATAACTTGGTTCCTACATGAGCCAAGAACAAACAGAAAATGATACCAGCATATTGGCAATCGAAAAAGTGTCAAAATGCACCAGGGTATTGGGCAATAAAATATTTTAATTTTTTGCCTGAAAATATAAGAAATTTGCTTCAAAAGAAATTTGAAAATAAAATTAAAAAAATAATGATAAAAAACTTGTTTTATTCAATTCAGCAATACTTACAACATAATTTTAATTGAGGTTTAGTTTTGTAATTATTTGACATGTGTAAGATTTCATATTTTTAACATGAATAAACAGTATTGAGTGTGGTGAGACCAGCGTTGGTATATGGCAGTGAAGTGTGGACTATAAGAAAGATTCAGGAAAAGAGGATGGAGGTAGCTGAAATGAAAATGTTATGGTGGATCAGGATCAACTTGATTAGGGAAAGAGCTGGGGTAACTACAGTCTCAAAAAATATTCAAGAACAAAGACTGCAATGGATTGGTCACACCAGACATAGAAACGAAAACTATGTAAGTCAAAAGATAAAGCTGGTAATAGGAAGAGATGCTAAAGTTCAGCGTTTTTGAGCAGCAGTAAGTATAAAGAGTTACACTCTTTGCTATTTTGATAGATAATTAATTCAGATTTAAATATTGAATGTATATCCTACACTTAGCATAAAATACAAATTTTTGGATTTAACTTTAGTCAATTTGCCTTTTATTTTCCGACATTATCTCTTTTGACTATTTGGTTTCCTAGTGTGTACTATTTTTTTGTTTAAATACCTTCAAAGACCTATTTGTACAATATAAAATTCTACCAAATACAAATTTGTAACCTGACAACATGGTACAAATATTTCACTTACCTTTAGCTACTAAGAAAGTACATATTTCCTTCAATAAACATTTTAAATTGTTGTTTTCTTCCATGGTTAAAGTAATTGAGTCTTTTGGTTGAATACTGAAACACTTTTCCAATGTTTCCAATACAATTATTAAACTATCAAAATAATTTTTCTCTAATTCGGGACCGTGTTTGGGGGCACTACAAGTGCCAGTTTGGTACTGTAAAAAAGACAAAATGATTATAAATAAATTAATTTTAATAATATCTTGTAAATATTTCTATTTAACATGAACTTTTCGTCAGCTGTCATATTTCTTCCCTGCTTAACCTTTTTTAACTGTGTTGTTTGTTATTTTTGCATTTCATGTATATTTATTTCCTTACTTCATTTATTCTTTTGATGTGCAGCAGATTATTTCTCTTTTTAGTATTTAAATTTCCCACTATACATATTCTCTTCTTTCTCTAGATATGTTCCTTGCTTCTCACAAAAATTTATTTTAAGCTTTGATCACCATCTTATAAATCTTTTCTCCAATTTTTCTTTACTCTAGCTTTGAATTTGTTAGTGACATTTATCATTCCAAACTTTCTGCTTTCTTTTGCTAGTTTTTCATATCCATTTTTGTGAACCTTTTTTAAACCTACTTTTTTTTTGGAAATTCTACCTTCATTCTGTCTGTTTTCCATTATAAATTTTTACTGTTCTTTTTGTTTATTTTGTGTAACTGTTCATTTTGTCTAAAGATTTAGCTTAGACTAGCCGTTCAACTTTTTATTCTGTTTAGTACTCATATATTATAGATCTCAATGTACATACTTCGTTTAACAAGCAGCTTAACAATGACAATAGATTTATTGTACATTAGTTAACACAAGAAATATGTAATACACTGAGCCCTTATTGTATAAAGTTGACAAAGAATAACTTACCAGTTCATGAATTCTTTTCAGAACTTTTACAAATCCATCTAAGACAAGTGCAAATCGGTATCTTGATATTTGTATTATGCAGTTCTTATTTTGTTCTTCATTAATACTAGAATGGGTTGTTTGAGGACCAATTCGACAGGGTAACTAAAATGAAAAATTAAATGATAATCATTCAAAGATTGTAAGAATGACCTAATATGAACAAAATAAGAAAATAGATGTAATACATCTGCTTTACTGTATGAATAACAATAACTATAATAATTTTGAATATATATATATAATATATATATATATATATATATATATATATATATAATATATATTTATCTACATGTATGCAGTATTTTTTCTTAATATTCGAAGGGCACTTCATTAATTTTTAATTCTTTGAGGACTAATTCGACCAGGTAAATAAATAGACTATTAAATCATCTATTTAAAAATTTGTATATATATATGAATGATGGACTAGCATGTAAATATTGATTAAAAGGTGGGCAATAGAAAAGCAAGCAAATATTATAAACAGAGGTTTATAATAAACACTAACCTGTTCCTCAAACCTAATAATCAAAGTATTAGCCCATTCTCCAGGCTTTTGTGTTGCCATTTTCGAGAAAATGGTCTAGCTCACATCATTATGGGGTCTTCTTGAGGTTTGACATTTTAGATAGAAAGATAGGTATAGGTAGCAAGCTAGCAGGTAGCAGATCGGATTGGGCCATTTGACACTAGTGACATAATCGTTGCTGCCACGATTCTCTAACTAAAAATCGTGGGTGTTTTGGGAACATTTTGTATTTACTCTAAAATAAAAACAGAACTAGTTTTGCATTTGTTAATAAAAATGTTCAACGAAATGAATTTCAGTTCATGTTATTATTTTTTAAAAGTTTTAGAAAAGTAAAATACCAGAATACTAAACTCATTAATTAAAACAATTTCGGTCAATAAAATATTGTCTAAATTATTTATTACATATTAGAATATATTTTCGAAAAGTGTAATAATAAAGTAAAATAACTAATCCTATTAATATAAAAAAGTAGAATGAAAATTTCTGTTAATATTGTACAAGGAAAGTTCTAAATAATCATTAAATTACAATGTTTGATTTGAAGTTATTGTAGTTAGATTTATATTGTATAATAAATATTTATTAAATATATATATTAAGAATGTAAAATCAGATCAAAAATTAAATTATATTCTCCGATAAATCGGCAAATGTGGCGGCACTGGAGAAAAGCAATTACCAACTTTGAAATTATAGTTCTGTGGTGGTGTGAACATATTTAAATAATCAAAACATTATAAAATTCAATAAACTGTAGTAATTTTGTAGAATACATTATTTATTTAACATTATGTATTATTTACTTTTACGGGAGTGAAGTAAATAATATTGTTTAAAATGTTGGAATATAGGCAACCAACATTACAGTTTATCCTCTAGAAAGGGAGGTTTAAATGTTATATATTGGATTTTTTCTGGTAAATTATTAATATCCACATACAGATATATTAAATATAACGATTTTTCTTATCTGTTTAGATAGAATACCTCTGAGACACTGTACGCGCTGTTTCCTTCACATTATCTATTTTTAGATACATTTCAGAGAGAAATTATCCAGTTATGGGTGAACTTTTAGCTACACCATATCTTTTTTTCTTTGTATGCTTCATTCTTTAAAGACATTGGTGATCATAATGGCTCATTATGAAAATGGCCCACGGCATAGGAAGAAGAATTACACCGATAACATCACATCTTAAAGCAGGCAAATCTTTTCTTGGTTGGGTCCGTATTTGTCCAGGCTTCAACTCCATATAAAAAGCCAGAGAATACGTAACATCTCAATGCTCTAGTTCTAATTTCTATTTTCCAGTGTTTTATTGTATAATACTGATTTCATATTATTGAAAGCGCTTCTGGATGTCTCAATATCTCAATTCTCCGTTTTATTTCAAGGCTGCGGCCCCCTCGTTCATTTAGCTCACATCACAAGTAATTATATCTGGGTACTTTCTCTAAAGACATCGGGTAGACACAAGAGGGTAGACATCGAAACAGTAAGGAAGGCTGTAATGACCCTAAAGAATGGTAAATCCGCTGGACCTGAGGGAATCTATGCTGAAATGCTTAAGAATGGAACTCATAAACTATTTGAAAACTTAACTTATGTGATCAATCAGTGTCTAAATGGACACCCAGTACCAGAACAATGGAGAACGGCATACATGTTCTCAATACACAAAAAGGGGGACAAAAGGAATTGTAATAATTATAGAGGCATATCGGTAACCAGCACCCTGAGCAGACTGTATGGACGAATTTTGAGAAATATGATCGAGGAAGAATATAAGCACAATGAAGAGGAAGAACAAAGCGGGTTCCGTGCAGGAAGATCGTGCACCGATAACGTATTTTGTCTTAAACAAATAATAGAAAAAAGATCGGCTAAGAATCTAGAAACTCATATTACTTTTGTAGACCTGCAAAAAGCATATGACAACATCCCCTTAACAAAATTGTGGACAACGTTGAAAAGATCTAACATCAACCACACATTGATAAATGCTGTACAAGAACTATATAGAGACTCAAAGGCACAGATAAAAACAGGAAAATATCTAACGGAAGAATTCCTGGTTACAAAAGGCTAGCGACAGGGATGCTGTATCTCACCAACCTTATTCAAGATATATGTTGCAGCAGCATTGGAAAGATGGAAAAGAAAGGTGCATAGGGTGGGTATAGAGCTTAGCAATGAATGTATATATACACTCCAGTTTGCTGATGATGAGGTAGTACTAGCGACCGACAGGGAAGACATGCAGTACATGCTTAGAAAACTGATAGAAGAATAACGACTGGGAATGAATGTCAATACAACAAAAACCAAATATCTTTGTATTGGAAACGAGTCAGATAACATAGACCTCGAAAACGGACAACATATTTCCTGCTGTCAGAGCTATGACTACTTGGATGTTGCCTTTGACAATACAGGAACTGATACACGGGAAATAGAAAAACGAATCACACAAGCAAAGAAAGTCTTAGGATGTCTCAATGGTATACTGTGGAGTAAAGAGATAAAGAAAGGAAGAAAATTTAATATATATATGAGAAGATGATTAAAACTACTCTTCTTTATGGCGCCGAAACATGGAGAATTAGTGAAAAGAACAAAAAGCGAATAGAAGCAGTAGAGATGGATGCAATGAGAAGATCTTTAGGTATTTCCAGACGAGACCGAATCAGAAATGATGTAATAAAACAACGTATGGCAAAGGTTAAAAAGCCATGTAATAAAAAATACATAAACACTAGAGAATTAATGAGAAATGAAGAGCTTAGATCTACATACAGTAAGCACATCAACGTGAACTTGAGAAACACAAGGAAATTGCATAGAGGAAACCTGTGAGAAAATAAAAATAGCTTAGTCGAGGCTGACGAAGTAGTCGCAAGTAAAATAAAAAGAAATCACAAAAACGAGTGGATGACGAAAGAGATACTTGATCTAATAGAGCAAAGCAGACAGTACAAAATACATCAGAATCAACAGGAATACAAGGAAATCTAACGTATGATAAGGGCAAGAATTAAAAACGCAAAGGAAAGCTGGATGAAAGAACGTTGTGAAGAATTGGAATCAGTACAAGACAAGGGAGACTGCTTTGGACTACATAAAAAGGTCAAAGAATTTCCGAGTATATACAAGAAACACTATGAGACTCGCCTGAAGAATGATCAAGGAAACTACGTTCATACCGAAGAAGAACTAGCGGACTATATCAAAAATACTTATTGTTTAGCGGACAGAATATGAAACAAATTATTTCTTATCAATTTAAAAGAAACATAGTAGGCTACGTTTTTGTTAAATGTCATTATTTGTTATAATAAATTTGTTAAATGTCATTATTGATGTTCAGTGACAGTTTAGTACTACAATATTTTTGGTATTTGTGAATGTTTTAATAATTATTGCTTAGATTTAATTTGAAGTAGAAATGGAGGTATGTGTAAAGCAAATAATTAAAATACTTATGATGATTGGGTATGGAGACAGATTGCGAACTCTGATGAAAGTGTGCAATTCGTTTAATGATCAATATCTAGAAAGACCTATAACGCGTTCAACAGTCAGTAAGATTGAAAAGAAATTTCGAGAAACTGGTACGGTTGAAAATGCACGGAAATCAGGTCGCCCCTCTGCAAATGCTGATACAGCATTAGATGTTTTACTTAGTTTTGAAGAAGATGCGCACACTTCTGTACGTAAAGTTAGTTGCGATATCGGTGTTAGCAAAACAACTGTACACAAACTACTAAAGCTTGAAAAATGGTATCCTTATAAAATCAAACTTGTGCAGGAGTTAAACGAAGATGATCCCAATAGAAGAATGCAATTTTGCGAAGCAATGATGGATAACTGCCACCGAGACCTTCTCTTGGTACAAAAAATTATTTTTTCTGATGAGGTTTCACGTTACATAGCGAGGTTAACCGTCAGAATTGTAGATACTGGGCAAAAGAAAACCTCCACTGGATGCGTGAGCATCATACACAATACTCGCAAAAGGTAAATGTATGGGCTGCAATTGTAAGAAATCGAATCATCGGACCCTACTTTATATATATATATATATATATATATATATATATATATATATATATATATATATATATATATATATATATGTATATATATAACAAGCGAGTCTTCTACAGCTGGCGCCGCTTCTCGCATCCTAATTTCCAGCGTTTTCTGTCGAAGCAATCTTCAGTTGTTAGATCTCTGGCGGTCATTGCATCGTCGACGTCGTCTCTCCAGGATCGTCTTGGTCTACCTCGTTTTCTTCTAGTTGGCGGAGTCCATTCTTCTATTTTTTTTGGCCATCTATTTTCCCGCATTCTCTGAAGGTGTCCATACCAGTTAAGTCTTTTGGCTTCGATTGTGTCTATTATGTCAAGATCGATTTCCATTTCTCTCCGAATATCTTCGTTTCTCACCCTATCTAGTCTAGTGAGCTGGCAACATCGTCTTCAGTAGTTCATTTCCATGGCCTTAATTTTTAATTTGTTTCTTTGGTTTATTTCCCAGAGTTCGGCGCCATACAGTCCAATACTTTCTATTATTGTTTTATAAATTCTTCTTTTATTTTCTTTTGTTATTTTTTTATTCCATAATAGTCTGTGTAGCTGTCTGGTGGCTGATCTTGCTTGACCAATCCTGGAATGTATTTCTTCGCTACTTCCTGCTTTTGATGTTATTTGGACTCCCAAGTACTTAAAATTGTCTGTTGGTTTTATAGTTCCCATTTCTATTTGTAGGCTTTCTGGTTATTCTCCTACAACTAAGTACTCAGTTTTTTGTATATTAATTGTGAGGCCCCATTTGGTGTACTCATCTTCCAGTTTTCTAAGCATGTAGCTTATATCACTTTCGTCTTCAGCTAGAATGGCTTGGTCATCAGCGAAATGTATCGTGTACAATCTATCATCTCCGATTGGGATGCCCATATTGCAGCACTTTCTTCTCCACAGTGAGAGTGCCTCATTTAGATATATTTTGAAGAGTGTAGGTGCTATGCAGCAGCCTTGCTTTAGGCCCTTACTAATAGAAATTTCTCTAGTTAATCTATTTCCAGTTTTAAT